ATTGCCCTTATTTAAGGAAGGAAGGCAGCAAATGTTGGACATGCTGGTTACAGTGCATTTCTCTCTGAAATTCTGAGGAAAATGGGTGGTTCCAGACATTGTTCAGAAGAACAGCGTACCTTGATTAAAAAGTTGATTGGAGGGGAAAACATATAAAGAAGTGCAGAAAATGATTGGCTGCTCAGCTAAAATGATGGCAAATGCTTTAAAATGGCAACCAAAACCTGAAAGACGCGGAAGAAAGCGAAAAACTACCATTGGAATGGATAGAAGAATAGCCAAAATGGGGCGGACTCAGCCAACAATCAGCCCCAGGAAGATGAAAGAAGGTGTGAAGTTCCCTGTGAGGACTCAGCCAACAATCAGCTCCAGGAAGATGAAAGAAGGTGTGACGTTCCCTGTGAGGACTGTTACAATTAGAAGACGCCTATGTGAAGCCAAGCTATCTGCAAGAAGTCCCCGCAAAGTCCCACTGTTGGGAAAAAGACGTGTGCTGAAGAGGTTACAATCTGCCAAAGAGCACATTGACTGGCCTAAAGAGAAATGGTGCAACATTTTGTGGACTGATGAAAGTAAGATTGTTCTTTTTGGGTCTAGTGGGCGGAGACAGTTTATCAGACGACCCCCAAACACTGAATTCAAGCCACAGTACACTGTGAAGACCGTGAAGCATGGTGGTGCAAGCATCATGATATGGGGGTGTTTCTCATACTACGGTGTTGGGCCTATTTATCACATACCAGGGATCATGGATCAGTTTGAATCCATCAGAATACTTGAAGAGGTCATGCTGCCTTATGCTGAAGAGGAAATGCCCTTGAAATGGGTGTTCCAACAAGACAACGACCCCAAACACACCAGTAAATGTGCAACATCTTGGTTCCAGACCAACAAGATGGACGTTATGGAGTGGCCAGCTCAATTATTCTACCCAGTAGCCTTCCTCTGCCCACTATTATGTGACACCATATGAAAACCTTAGATATTCCTGTTGTGCTGGATTCATCTTCTCTTCAGTCATAAGGCGTTGCCCACTTACACACTACTCCAGAAGGTATGGCTTAGGGTAAGAGCCCTTCAGGGGGTAGAGGCATTCACTGAGTATAGTCCCATCTGGCACACCACAACCTAGGGGGAACTAGAACACCTTCGGTGTGGAAGCAATATGGAATTCCTTACCTGAAGCAGATCTTTGGCAATGGATCTTTCCATACTTTTACTGACCAATGTGCTGCCTTCTGCCTCCCTTCCACACTGAAGTTTTCCTATCTTCAGCTTCACCATGCTGTCTGAGCCCAGGGCCCTCTGACCCTTTATCCCCCACACCCATCAATTGGTAAAGGATCCAAAGGGCTTCATATCCAGGTGCTGTGACATGCTACTTTTCCCATACCTAGAAGGCCATCCCTGTAATGGGTGCAGGATGTAGGCTCATTGGATGAGGAGTTGTGGGATAGTCCATTGGAACCTGTCTTGCTTAGCTCCCTCAATACCAGTCATAGGCTTTGACAGCTCTACATACTACTCTGTACCCATCACACCCCTCTCAAGCTCCATCGCATGGGTCTCCTCCATCTCCTCTCTGTACTAGAGGTGCTGCTGCTCAGGGGGGTCTTATTCACCTTCTATGACACTGTCCCAAACTTCATTGGTACTGGGCAGATATTGTTACCAACAAAAATGCAGCTTTCCACATTACTGTCCCTACTGAACACTACCTGCTACATTTTGAGAATACTAGACGACCTCCCAGTAGCAGACTTCCAAAATGGCCGCTGTTAGTAGGACCCTGTTCCAGGCTCGTAGGCTTCTCCTCCAACAATGAAGTCTGATAGAACCCCCCGCTCATAGAATGGGTCACGTATGTGGGCGATACTCTCAGATTAGGGAAATTCATTTTTCAGCACAAAGGCCATAAACCATGGGAGGACTGGTTAGCTGTTCCAGGCCTTGCACCTACTGAGTTGGTTGTGGACAGACTGTTGATTTATTTACAGGTATTGTTTTCTTTTCCTTTTTTTGTGCCGTATCAGTGCTTTGGAACACTTTTCATTGACTTGTTTAATGTTTGTACTTATTTATGTTTATTGGATGAACCTCAATAAACTTTATTTCTAATCTGGTTGAGCTTATCCATCCTCTTCATACAACCCTCTACACGCCTTGTGCAACCCTTCTACTACAGAGGCATCTTCCCGTGACTCCTACATGATCTCACGGCCATCTCTGAGGTCTATCCTTTACATAGAGGTATTCCCTTCGGGAGGAACCCTCAAAAGATCCAATCTTTCTTCTTCTGTTCCCATCAGCAATGGTAACCTTCCTTATTCCTCTTCTACTTGGGGACAAGGTAGCCCTGAGACCACCCCCCCCCCCCAAATCACTAAAACTCATCTCTTATGTCCACTACTCCCTTATTCTATTCATCTCTGGGCACTGTTCCCATCATCACATTCTTCTTTGGGCGCTGTACCCCTCATCCTACTCCTCTTCTGGGCACTGTACCCCTCATCCCATTCCTCTCTGGGCACTGTATCCATCATGGGCCCACTCCCACTCTCTGGGCGCTGTACCCCTCATCCTACTCCTCGCTGGATGCTGTACCCCTCATCCCACTCCTCTCTGGGCACTGTATCCATCATCCCATTCCTCTCTGGGCACTGTACCCCTCATCCCACTCCTCTCTGGGCACTGTATCCATCATCCCACTCCTCTCTGGGCGCTGTACCCCTCATCCTACTCCTCGCTGGATGCTGTACCCCTCATCCTATTCCTCGCTGGGTGCTGTACCCCTCATCCCATTCTCTGGATGCTCTACCCCTCATCCTACTAATCTCTGGGCGCTGTACCCCTCATCCTTCTCCTCTCTGGGAGCTGTACCTTTCATCCCATTCCTCTCTGGGCTCTGTACCCCTCATCCTACTCCTCTCTGGGCTCTGTACCCCATCATCCTACTCTTCTATGAGCACTGTATCCCTCATCCTATTGCCCTCTGGGTGCTATACACCCCATCCTGCTCCTCTCTGGGCACTGTATCCTCATCCTACTCCTGTCTGGATGCAGTACCCCCCCTCATCCTACTCTTCTCTGGGTGCTGTACCCCTCATCCTATTGCCCTCTAGGTGCTATACCCTCATCCTACTCCTCTCTGGACCCCTCATCCTAATCCTCTCTGGACGCTGTACCCCTCATCCTACTCCTCTCTGGACGTTGTACCCCTCATCCTACTACTCTCTGGATGCTGTACCCCTCATCCTATTCCTCGCTGGGTGCTGTACCCCCCCACTCCTCCCACTCCTCTCTGGTGCTGTGCCCCTCATACCCCCCTCATCCCACTCCTCTCTGGGCGCTGTGCCCCTCATCCCATTCCTCGCTGGGCGCTGTACCCCTCATCCCATTCCTCTCTGGGCACTGTACCCCTCATCCCATTCCTCGCTGGGTGCTGTACCCCTCATCTCACTCCTCTCTGGGCACTGTACCCCTCATCCCATTCCTCGCTGGATGCTGTACCCCCTCATCCTACTCTTCTCTGGGTGCTGTACCCCTCATCCTATTGCCCTCTGGGTGCTATACACCTCATCCTACTCCTCTCTGGACCGCTCATCCTACTCCTCTCTGGACACTGTACCCCTTATCCTTCTACTCTCTGGACGCTGTACCTCTCATCCCAGTGCTGTACCCCTAATCCCATTCCTCTCTGGGCACTGTACCCCTCATCCCACTCCTCTCTGGGCGCTGTGCCCCTCATCCCACTCCTCTCTGGGCGCTGTGCCCCTCATCCCATTCCTCTCTGGGCGCTGTACCCCTCATCCCATTCCTCTCTGGGCGCTGTACCCCTCATCCCATTCCTCTCTGGGCGCTGTACCCCTCATTCCTCACTGGGTGCTGTCCCACCCCTCTGGGACCGCTGTATCCCCCTCACTCCTCTCTGGGCGCTGTACCCCTCATCCCATTCCTCTCTGGGCACTGTACCCCTCATCCCATTCCTCGCTGAGGTGCTGTACCCCTCATCTCACTCCTCTCTGGGCACTATACCCCTCATCCCATTCCTCGCTGGATGCTGTACCCCCTCATCCTACTCTTCTCTGGGTGCTGTACCCCTCATCCTATTGCCCTCTGGGTGCTATACACCTCATCCTACTCCTCTCTGGAAACAGTACCCCTCATCCTTCTACTCTCTGGACGCTGTACCCCTCATCCCATTCCTCGCTGGGTGCTGTACCCCTAATCCCACTCCTCTCTGAGCGCTGCATCCCTCATCCCACTCCTCTCTTGGCGCTGTACCCCCTCATCCCATTCCTCTCTGGGCGCTGTACCCCTCATCCCATTCCTCTCTGGGCACTGTACCTCTCATCCCATTCCTCACTGGGTGCTGTACCCCTAATCTCACTCCTCTCTGGGCGCTGTACCCCTAATCTCACTCCTCTCTTGGCGCTGTACCCCTCATCCCATTCCTCTCTGGGAACTGTACACCTCATCCTACTCCTCGCTGGGCGCTGTACCCCTCATCCCACTCCTCTCTGGGCGCTGTACCCCAAATTTTACTCTTCTCTGGGCGCTGAACCCCTCATCCTAACCCTTTCATTATCATAATTTCTTACTCATTTCTTCTACAAGACTTCTCTGGTGCTGTACTCTTCCCCTGGACTCCTGTCTACATGCCTTCATTCTCCAAATGCAATGGGAAAGGAATATCGCCTTTTTTTCTCGTAACATCTTTCTCTTCGGAGCCGAGTTTGCACCCACGCTGCTGATTACAACACCCGTCCTGCTGCCAAATCTCACTTTCTTCTGTCAGTTTTGTGTCATCTCTTAAGAGTGCATTTGTAGGGCTCCACTTCTGAGGGTTACGTGTATTGGTCTATGCGATTGGTCTAACCCCTTGATGTTCTCTGTGCGGTGCAGAAGTAGATGCCAACCCCAAATAAATGAAGAATGACGACTTCAAGACAAACTGGTTAGATGCTGCACATGATTTATTCACAACCAATATGGGTTGCTCAGCATTGGATCATGGACAAGGTCAGGAGAATGTGGTCACACGGAGGTAGGGACACGGCTCCATACTGGATCACGGACAGGGTCAGAAGAATGTGGTCACACGGAGATAGGGACACGGCTCCATACTGGATCACGGACAGGGTCAGGAGAATGTGGTCACACGGAGATAGGGACACGGCTCCATACTGGATCATGGACAGGGTCAGGAGACTGTGGTCACACGGAGATAGGGACACGGCTCCATACTGGATCATGGACAGGGTCAGGAGACTGTGGTCACACGGAGATAGGGACACGGCTCCATACTGGATCATGGACAGGGTCAGGAGAATGTGGGCACACGGAGGTAGGGACACGGCTCCGAATTGGGTCATGGACAGGGTCAGGAGAATATGGTCACACGGAGGTAGGGACATGGCTCCGAATTGGGTCATGGACAGGGTCAGGATAATGTGGTCACACGGAGATAGGGACACGGCTCCGAACTAGATCATGGACAGGGTCCGGCGAATGTGGTCGCACCGAGGTAGTGACACTGCTCCGAATTGGGTCCTGGACAGGGTCAGGAGAATGTGGTCAAACGGAGGTAGGGACAGGGCTCCGAATCAGGAGAATGGGTCATGGACAGGGTCAGGAGAGAATGTGGTCACACGGAGGTAGGGACACGGCTCCGAATTGGGTCATGGACAGGGGGTCAGGAGAACGTGGTCACACGGACAGGGTCAGGGACACGCTCCGAATTGGGACACGGCTGGACAGGGTCAGGAGAATGTGGTCACACAGAGGTAGGGACACGGCTCCATACTGGGTCATGGACAGGGTCAGGAGAATGTGGTCACACGGAGTAGGTAGGGACACGGCTCCGAATTGGGTCATGGACAGGGTCAGGAGAATGTGGTCACACGGAGGTAGGGACACGGCTCCGAATTGGGTCATGGACAGGGTCAGGGAGTCAATGTGGTCCACACATGGAGGTAGGGACACTGCTCCGAATTGGGGGTCAATGTGGTCACACGGAGGTAGGGAGAATTGGGTGGACAGGGTCAGGAGAATGTGGTCACGGAGGTAGGGACACGGCTCCGAATGGGTCATGGACAGGGTCAGGAGAACGTGGTCACACGGAGGTAGGGACACGGCTCCGAATTGGGTCATGGACAGGGTCAGGAGAACGTGGTCACACGGAGGTAGGGACACTGCTCCGAATTGGGTCATGGACAGGGTCAGGAGAATGTGGTCACACGGAGGTAGGGACACGGCTCCGAATTGGGTCATGGACAGGGTCAGGAGAACGTGGTCACACGGAGGTAGGACACGGCTCCGAATTGGAAAGGGTCAGGAGAATGTGGTCACACGGAGGTAGGGACACTGCTCCGAATTGGGTCCTGGACAGGGTCAGGAGAACGTGGTCACACGGAGGTAGGGACACGGCTCCGAATTGGGTCATGGACAGGGTCAGGAGAACGTGGTCACACGGAGGTAGGGACACGGCTCCGAATTGGGTCATGGACAAGGTCAGGAGAATGGCAGCACTCTAAGGTTGTTGATGCAGTAACTCTTTGCTGCTTGTCGGCACCAAAACTGGTTGATTTAGTTCTGGAGGAGACCACCCAACTCTATTGAAGACAATAGTTGCCTACTAGAACTTTGTAGACTTACATGTATAAAATATTATACATGCTTATGAATGATTTTCTGCATTGCTATGGTGCAACACTTGTGCGTAGATGAGAGAGAAGCTCATCTGTCATCACTGGTTATGTAGTATCATCTGGTTGAGGGACACAAGGAAGGAGGGGCATGTGCACCCCAAATACTGCCACTTGAACTGATCTATGGGATCTGAGAAGGCACAGAGTGCATACCAGCTAGGCGTACACGTCAGTCTCTGCTCTGAACTACACATCCTCCAGATGCTGGGACAGCCTCCGTTTGTCCTGTGCCTGCTCACATAACCGGAGAAGGGTGCACGCCCGTCTTGGAGGTGGATGCAATCTTTTCAGAAGATATATACAGCAGTCTCTTCTGAGCTGGGCACTCTCATGAACCTCTGCAAAGTTATAAACGGCAGGCAGGCTGTCCAGAGTCAGCATAGAGTCTCGCACCATGTTTTCCAGCACACACTGTAGACCAGGTAGGAGAAATTGTCCAGCAGCAGCCAAGGTAGAAGACAGAGGGGACCGGACCAGCTCTTGATCTGGTTCCATGTGCTGCAAACTCTTCAAAGTAGGGCACAATGAATCTTTGGCGCAGCCATGAAGATAATGTAACAATGGTAGGAAAGCGCAGACTGGAATCTCTCTCACACGTACCTCACCTTGCTGGGCTTCAGCATAACCACCTTGGAGCATGGCATGAAATACCTCAGAGCTTTCACAAATCAAGTCCCGGCTACCTTCCAACCGTTCACCTCCATCAAGTACAAAAGCAATATCCCCCTGGCCTTGAGAAAAGAGCTTCCGGTAACAGCAAGTAAGGGACACTGGTGAATCTTGAGGTGACAGCATGGAGGTCCGGCATTCGGAAGGCTGAGGGGTCAGCACGGAGGTCCGGCATTCCGAAGGCTGAGAGGTCAGCACGAAGGACCGGTATTCGGAAGGCTGAGGGGTCAGCACGGAGGACCGGAATTCGGAAGTCTGAGGGGTCAGCACGGAGGACCGGCATTCGGAAGGCTGAGGGGTCAGCACGGAGGACCGGTATTCGGAAGGCTGAGGGGTCAGCACGGAGGACCGGCATTCCGAAGTCTGAGGGGTCAGCACGGAGGTCCGGCATTCCGAAGTCTGAGGGGTCAGCACGGAGGTCCGGCATTCCGAAGTCTGAGGGGTCAGCACGGAGGACCGGCATTCAGAAGTCTGAGGGGTCAGCATAGAGGACAGGCATTCCGAAGCATGGAAAAAGTATACAGGGTCCACCGAAATCATTAATGACTCCAACACAAGATGAATGGCTCCATCCAGCAGGTTCTGACGGTGTGGAGAATCCTTCCTACAACATAGGATGAAGAGATAGCAGCCTTAGTTCAGTATGGAAGAAGGACAAGGACTAGACTCACAAGACCTTGTACATCTCCAGTTGTTAAGATTTAACTCTTTTGCAGCCAAAGCCTAGTTTCATTTTTCCTGTTAAAATGTACATTTTAGGCCTGAAGATTACAAAGAAACCTCAAACATTGCATATATTTTGAAATCAGAGAGCCTGGAGCATAAAAAAAAAAAAATATTCTGCACAAGCATTGCTTTAAAATCTCTGACCGTCCTTCATTTTACAGTTATGAATGATTGGGCGTGGCAACACCCCCTGTGTCATGTAAACCCTAACTATACGTGTTGCATCAGGAACATGTTCCAGTCTGGATTCGGGTGTAACATAGAAGGCTGAGGGGTCAGCACGGAGGTCCGGCATTCCGAAAGGTGAACTTATCCTTTAACTAGATTACTATTACAAAAGGGTGAATGACCATAGTGCCAGCATCTCATCAGTGAGACTTCTGGGGCCGACTCCTAATGTCACCTCAGCACTTCCACAGAAGCCGATAAAGCACAGATCGTTACAGATAGGTGCTGCTGCCAATCTAACCCATCTATGATGGTGAAAAGGTTCCATCTGAACACACCAGAGAAACAAGGCAGTCATACATGCCACACATCACTGGAGTGAGGTATTAGAATAGCCCCTCACCTAGCATAGATATATACAGGGGATACACATGGGGTATACAGAGATGTATTATCATTGGAGTAGATAATACATATATACACGGCTCCACCAATGAGAGGAAGACTCTGAAAACCCATCAGATCTCAATGGGGAGGAATCTCCTGCTGGATCTCTATACTGACATGGACGGGTGATGGGTGAGGAACGGAAATGATCGACCTACAGAGGACTGAATTCACAGACACCCCAAAAATCAAAGTGAAGAAATGATGCAGCAGGCGAGTCCATGTTGGTGAAATGTCATTGCAGCAACTCAGAATGGTCCTCAGTAGTCTGTGTGGCCCCCACATACTTGTATGCATGCCTGACAACGTCGGGGGAGGGTCCTAATGAGACCACGGATGGTGTCCTGGGGGATTTCCTACCAGATCTGGACCAGGACATCACTGAGCTCCTGGACAGTCTGAGGTGCAACCTGGAGGCGTTGGATGGACCGAAACACGACATCCCAGAGGGGTTCTATTGGATTTAGGTCAGGAGAGGGTGGGGGCCATTCAATGGTATCAATTCCTTCATCCTCCAGGAACTGCCTGCATACTCTCCCCACATGAGGCCGGGCATTGTCATGTACCAGGAGGAACCCAGGACCCACCGCAGCAGGAGGAACCCAGGACACACTGCACCAGGAGGAACCCAGGACCCACCACACCAGCGTAGAGCCTGACAATGGGTCCAAGGATTTCATCCCGATACCTAATGGCAGTCAGGGGGCCATTGTCTAGCCTGTAGAGGTCTGTGTCCCCCTCCATGGAGATGCCTCCCCAGACCATCACTGACCCACCAGCAAAACGGTCAAGCTGAACCATGTCACAGGCAGCAGAACGTTCTCCACGGCTTCTCCAGACCCTTTCACGTCTGTCACATGTGCTCAGGGGGAACCTGCTCTCATCTGTGAAAAGCACAGGGTGCCAGTGGTGGACCTGCCAATTCTGGTGTTCAATGGCCAATGCCAATCCAGCTCTATGGTGCCGGGCAGTGAGCACAGGGCCCACTACAGGACGTCGGGCCCTCAGGCCACCCTCATGAGGTCTGTTTCTGATTGTTTGGTCAGAGACATTCACACCAGCGGCTTGCTGGAGGTAATTTTGTAGGGCTCTGGCAGGGCTCATCCTGTACAAAGGAGCAGATACCGGTCCTGCTGATGGGTTAAGCACCTTCTACGGCCCTGTCCAGCTCTGCTAGAGGAACTGCCTGTCTCCTGGAATCTCCTCCATGCGCTTGAGACTGTGCTGGGAGTCACAGCAAACCTTCTGGCAATGGCAGGTATTGATGTGCCATCCTGGAGGAGTTGGACTGCCTGTGCAACCTCTGTAGGGTCCAGGTATGGCCTCATGCTACCAGTAGTGACACTGACCCGAGCCAAATGCAAAACTAGTGAAAAACAGTCAGAAAAGAGGAGTAGGGAAAAGAATGTCAGTGTCCTCCACCTGTAAAACCATTCCTATTTTGGGGGTTGTCTCATTGTTGCCCATCTAGTGCACCTGTTGTTAATTTCATTACCACCAAAGTAGCTGAAACTGATTAACAACCCCCTCCGCTACTTACCTGACCAGATCCATATCCCAGGAGTTTTACAAAGTCTTCCTTTCATTTTTTTGATCAGTGTATATAAGAATTATCAAAGACTTGTGTGAAATGAGTACAGTGGAGATAAATGATGGCTACCAGAGAGTTATGACACAGAGTCTCACCTGTAAATAAATGGCAGACAGAGGGCGCATTGTTGTCGGTCACTCTGAGGCCCAGACACCAACATGTGAGCCACCAGTCCCATTCCAAAGGGGGATGCAGCCTGGATACAAAGATTGCGCAGCAGAATGTCACCTGCAGGACAGAAAATACACAGATCATATGACTGGGAAGAGCAGAAAATACACAGATCATATGACTGGGAAGGGCAGAAAATACACAGATCATGTGACCTTCAGGATTAAAAAAAAAAAAAACAAAAAACAGAGATCTCAGTTCTTCCAAGCAATGCTCTCACTCCATGCAGTCATAATCTGGGTCTAAGTGGCCTACAGACTTCCTTTCAACAGATACGAGGCTGGCAGTCCGCTGTGTGCAGAGAAGATCTTCCCCTCTAAATTCCACAACGACTTATCTGCTGAAGTGAGCGACTCTGAGGGGCTTTTACAGAAACTGCCCTTTTTTCAGTCATTACTGCCACTTCCTGTCTGGTATACCACCTGCAGGACATGAAGGGCAAATCAACAGAAGCGAGGTGTGACGGACAGGAGTGACTTTGGGTGGGGGGCCCATGGAACCCAGCTCACTTTGGGTGGGGGGGGCCCATGGAACCCAGCTCACTTTGGGTGGGGGGCTCATGGAACCCAGCTCACTTTGGAGAGGTGGGGAGACCCCCGTCTCAGCTCCCCATATCCCTCTTATTTGTAAGTCACCCTGTGCCTGTTAGGGGTACAGGGGGATCTGTCCTAATATTGGGGTGGGGGTTGTGGATTGTTTGGTGTTGTGTGGCTACATCCCATTGTTCTATTGTGTGTCTTGCTTAGGAGCAAACTATTATGGGATGTATGTGTTTATGTTTATTAGCTTGGGAAGGGGGGGGGGGGGGGGGGGGGGGTGTCTCCAGCAGCCCTCCCTCCTGATGGGACTGTCTGCTGGAGTGAAGTTTGAATACCTGTGTCTGTTACTAAATGTTGATTGTCCCGCCCGGTGTCATTATACAGGGAGGGGGGAGTGTCCCACCACGAGTGTATATATCTTGTATCTGTGTTCAAATAAACTAGTCTACCTCTGGCTTACTTCAAATCTGGTGTCGTCTGGATCTTGGGGTAACAATAGCCAGAGTCACTGGTCTCGCGTTCCTAAGCCTGAGATGCAGATTCTTGATGGAGATACCCAGTCATGGGTGTCTGGGGTCCGTTACACAAGGGTAGCAGTGAAAGTTGGCAGGGGTTCCAGTCCTCCCATATTCTATCCTAAAGATTGTCTGTACTTACTGTATTGTCTGTTTCCTGGTATTCCTAGGGGGACCCAGGATTCAGTAACATTGGCTGTACCACCATCCACAGGAGGATTATGGCAGAACCCCTCCCACTCCCAGGATGCCTAAGACATGGGGAAGGGGGCCTCCATGACTCCAAGAAACAGATGTTATGGCAGAGAAATAAATGTAAGTTTTTTTTCCCAACATTGAGGGGCACAGAAACTGAGCAGCATTTGGGGTGGGCAGCACAGACAAGACAAAAACAGGCAAAGTGCAGGCAGTTTCCAGATGGACCTTCGAGAACGGCATCAGAAGAGGCCGAAACATTCACCTGGGAGAACGTGTGAAGACAGAAGACGGGGGGGATGGGCAGATCCTGAGACACCAGTCAGGGAAAATCTGTCTGTCTGTGTCAGGTGGGCTGGTTTATCTAGAGACTGAACCTTTTGTGCCACAACAGAATGTTGATCTGAAGGGGTCTGGTGTGGAACTGAGCAACTTGAACTTTGAAAGTCTATTGTGAAGATCAGAATTTTCATGCAGGACTGGACAGTTTCTGGACTGTTGAGTCCAACTCTGGGAGCTGAGAGAAGAAACTCTGGTTTAATCTGTACGTAGGATGAGCTCCATTGACTTCAGCGATGAGTTGGTTCCAGCACTGACTTCTGAGGGTTTAGGATCCCTCCGTTTACCATCCTTGGACTTTTCCAGCCTCTATATGGAAGTCTGTAACAAAGGTTTGTACAGTTTCAGCCTCTCAGAGATCCAAGACTGGAAGCAGTGCTAGTAGAAGCTGTAGGCCGCTCTCCCATCTTTATGGAGAAAGGCTCCTCATCAATAAGAAGAGCTGGGCATTGTTTGTTTTAAAGCCCCCTGGAGTGGGGCTGGCCTGCTCTGCAACGGTTAAATGCTCATTTAGGTCTAGGGGCAGCAAAAAGCAGTTTTATTTACTGGATCTTCTACTCTGCTATGCACCGGCAGTGGATTGGCCTCTGCGCCCTCACTTTCTTTTCAGGGCTATGGGCTCTGCATTGAATGTGATGTCATAGGACCTGTGCCTGCTGGAGCATAGGGAAGAAGAGGCTGTGGGGAATGATCCTTTATAGTTCAGAGACAGCCTGTGAGAGCAGAGGATTGGGTTCCTAAAAGTACAGTCAAGGCCACAAATATTACCCCCCCCCCCGCATTTCTGTCTGATAACACACCACTTCGCCCAGAAAATGTCTGCCATGACAAATGTTTTGGCATTCTCACGTTTATTTCTTTGGTTTGTATTGGTATGACACAAAAGGGAGAAACAAAAAGCCAAATCTGACACATTCCACACAGAACCCCCAAAATGGACATTATTGGCACATTCTCAGAATTGTAAGAAATAATTGCATTCCAAGTCTGTGATGTTCCTGTAATTTGTCATTAGACTCCCCGTATCCATGACCAGGTGCTGACAACATAGAAATCACACCGACAACCAGTTACAATGGTGAAAAATGGCCTCCGCCTTTCTGTTGTGTGTCTCTGTGTGCCACATGGAGCATGGAGAAGAGAAAAAAGCAACAAAAAATTGAGGATTTGAGAAAAAAAAAAAATTGTGGAAAAGCATGGACAATCTCAAGGTTACAAGTCCATCTCCAGAGATCTTCCTGTTCCTGTGTCCACTGTGCGCAACATTGTCAAGAAGTTTACAGCTCATGGCACTGTAGCTAATCTGCCTGGATGTGGACGAAAGAGAAAAATCAATCAAAGATTGCAAGGAAGGGTTGTTGGAATGGTGGCTAAAGAACCTCCATCAACTTCCAGACAAAATCAAACTGACCTTCAGGCACCGGGTACAACGGTGTCTGCTTGCACTATATGTCACTATCTGAATGAAAAGGGGCGCTATGGTAGGAGACCCAGGAGGACCACCACTGACACAGAAATATGGGAGGAGACAGGAGGACCTCACTGCTGACAGAAATATGGGAGGGAGGAGGACTCAGGTGGGGACCTCACTGCTGACACAAATATGGGACCCAGGAGACCCCACTGCTGACACAGAAAAATAGGTGGGAGACCCAGGAGGACCCCACTGCTGACACAGAAATATGGTGGGAGACCCAGGAGGACCCCACTGCTGACACAGAAATACGGTAGGAGACCCAGGAGGAGGACCCCACTGCTGACACAGAAATACGGTAGGAGACCCAGGAGGACCCCACTGCTGACACAGAAATACGGTAGGAGACCCAGGAGGACCCCACTGCTGACACAGAAATACGGTGGGAGACCCAGGAGGACCCCACTGCTGACACAGAAATACGGTGGGAGACCCAGGAGGACCCCACTGCTGACACAGAAATACGGTAGGAGACCCAGGAGGACCCCACTGCTGACACAGAAATACGGTAGGAGACCCAGGAGGACCCCACTGCTGACACAGAAATATGGGAGGAGACGCAGGAGGACCCCACTGCTGACACAGAAACATATTGGAAGAAACCAGAGCCTGGAGTTTGCCAAAACTGACCTGAGGAAGCCAAAATCCTTTTGGAAGAATGTGCTGGGGACAGACAACACAAAATACGATTTTTGGTAAAGTCCATCATTCTACTGTTTTCAGAAAAAGCAATGAGGCCTTTACAGAAAAGAATCTAGTCCCTCCAGTCACACATGGTGGGGGTCACTGATGGTTTGGGGTGGCTTTGCTTCTTCAGGCACTGGAGGTCTTGACCGTGTGCATGGCATTATGAAATCTGAAGACTACCAAAGAATTCTGGGGTGCAATGTAGGGCCCGCTGTCAGAAAGTTGGGTCTCCAATGTCAGAGGTCATGGGTCTTCCAGCAGGAGAATGACCCAAAGCACACGTCACAAAGCCCCCAGAGAAGGTGTCAGACAAAGCGCTGAGGAGGACTGAACTGGCGAGCAAGGAGTCCAGATCTCCTGTGGAGAGATTTCAGAAGAGCAGTTGGGAAAGTTAACCCTTCCAATTTGAGAGACCCGGAGCAGTTGGCGAAAGAAGAGCGATCCAAAACTCCAGTAGATAGGTGGAAGGAAGCCACTGATTTCACTTATTTTTTGCAAGGGGTGCGCTACCAAATATTACATTGAGGGTACCAATAATTCTGTCCAGTCCATTTTTGTGGTTTTGGGTGGAATGTGTCAGATTTGGCGCTTTGGTTTCTCCACATTTTTCGGTCATACCAATACAAGCAAAAGAAATAAACATGAGAATAGCAAAACATTTGTAATTGCAACAATTTTCTGATTGAAGTGTTGCATTATCGGACAGAAACGTGTGGGGGGGGGGACGGACGACGACAAGATTTTGGGCCATGACTGTACTTTTTGCAGGCAGTATTCTACTACAAGGGAGCCATTTTCTTTCTGTAGACTTCAGCTTTAAACCTGAAAGCTATGGCAGCCACTTGCACCTTCTCAGAAACCTAATCATCCAGCGTGGATCTATGAAAGTCTTCATCAGTCTGTGCAGCAGAAGCCTTTGAGGCCGCTCTAGCTGCAGACAATGATTCTAAAGGGGAAGGCGATGAGGTATGCTAACAGTCTTTGCATTTAGAGTAGGAGGAGTTATATAGCCACTTCCCTTTGTTTGCCAAATTGTTCTGTCCAAATCCTCCCGTAAGCTGCAGTATAACCAAAAGTCCACTGAATCCTGTGTCCCCCAATGAACAGAAAAAGGAAAAAAAAACCAAAAAACGTTTTGCTTGGACATGAACTTTAATCCTTTCTAAGGCAGAAATCCGGATCAGGTATGTAGGGTCATGTGCTCTGAATTTTCTTTCCAATCTACATGCTTGTTCCAGGACTGTGGCTGAGAAAGCAGTAAAGCCAGAGAGCCAGGCAAGTAGTATTTTGTTGGCAGGAGGTCAAAAGCCACCATTTTTTTCCCAGTCTGACTAGCCTTCCCTGTCATTCCTCCAATCTCTTACCAAGTTTTCTTGCTCTTTCTGGGTGTCGGCTCCTCTCCTTGTCATCTCCACCTGGAGACTCATGAAGAAGCAATCTTGCTCGCAACGTGCAAATGCTGCCAGTCCGGATGAAGGCCTCCAGACACAACGGGTCACAAGTTAGGCGTTGCAGAATACGAGCAGCTTGATTTGAGGGGTTAGGGTGGCAAGCCACATAGGTCAGAAGCCCTTTAAAACTGAAGGGGAGACCAAACAAGAGGAGGGATCTGACAGCTGAGAGAAACGGGAAAGGAGAAGTAAGACTGGGAACTCGGGTCCATAGACTTCTGAGGGTGCAGGAGAAGGAGGCCCCAGAAGGGATGGTGATGCAAAGATTTCTTTTATGGGTGACTGGCAAGACTGATTGGAAGGTAAAGGAAAACAGGGCTGGCCAGGTGTTTGGGGCACTTGTGTCCTCTTCTGTGAGACTTTGGTCATTTGACTTCCTTTTCCTTGAGGAGAAAGCTTTGTCTTGGTGGATTCCTCTCTGTTCTCCATGATCCCTTCAGGAGGCAGATCATCCAGACTGTTGATGTAACCTTCTGATAATAGCCAAGATCTGCAAGAAAGAGACCGTCAGATAAAATGAGATCCCTACCCTCTGCCAGCCCGACAAAGTGCAGTAGGGAGTGAGGGCTGAGGAAGTCTTTGTGAAATTCAGTCAGCTCAGGTCTGGTAATGTGATGCATAACAACACAACAGAGGATAACAGAGGACTAGTCAGTGTAAATGTGTTCAGAGATGTGAAGCATGATTGGACATCACAGAAATATGAACATTGAGCTTAGCCATTAACAAGTGTTTACACAATGGTGATCCAAAAAAAGAAAACAAAACCCCCACACATTTCAAAACCTATGTTCCCCCACTTGTAAATAAACCTATTAGGTCATCCTGGACTTTATGCCTGTACTCATTTTCCACCTTTTTATCTGCCATGAAATGTGTGGCATTGGGCTCAGTGGGCAAGCCAGGGAAGTGCAGGAGCATGTAGAAGAGAAGAATAGGCTTCTTACTATGCCCAATATCTAGCAGACCTATTACTTTGTCTGCTATACATGGTCAGGACTCACAGGACCCCATTTATAACCAATCAGGAACGGCCATTACCCGAGCAACCTCCTGCAGTGCTGACAGAGTGGTACCAAGGTAAGGCCTGAGCCTAGAGACAGGATTAGAAGACAGAATCAGAACCTTACTGGTGGGGGGGGGTCAGTATCCAATCATTAGGCTGGGGGCCGGTCAGTGACCAAACAATATTGCTTAAAATTCAGCAGAACACATTAAAGTCACCGAGAGGAATGACTAATTATTTGGAAGGCAAGGCCATTCTTCAGTACATTTTACAGGAGTTTTCTTACAGTTCTGGAGAGCGTGGTAAAGGGTTAGACTGTCTAGAAGGTTTTCCTGCCAACAAATTTCTTCTCACTTCCTGTCCCAGTGACCAGAAAGGAAGTGAAGGGAATCTCTACAATGGGGACCATTTACCTCCCAGTGACACCTGGAGATCTGGCAGGGGTTCCAAGCCTTCCCCACAAAGGTTTGTCATAGCTTTAGGTGCCATCATTGTGTACTTCTGCTGTTACAGTAGTTCTAAGATTTGACTAAACAGGCCACATCACTTACCCTGTAAGAGGACCATCTCCTTTAGAATTAACACCACAAACGTACGGCTAAAGCTAAACAAGCCAGTCAATCTCTATCCAATCAGGAAGGATCATTGGCCAGACATTTGGTGGTGGCTAATCTGAAGGAAGTGGCACAATTATGTTGTATTGTGAACACCGGGAATCAGGCCAGTCACAATGTTAGCAAAGAGAGGCAAACCATTAGATGGTGAGAGATCATTTTATCCTCAGATATCATCGCCGCCCTGATGACGTCTTGAAGATTAAACGCGTAGGGTGGAGTCACAGCATGTGACATCATTGCGCACCAGCATGGACCACGGCCAACTTGTTGGTTTGAGACACTATTCTGACATGCTGGTTTTTAGATCGATGAATGTGAGTGTAATGCTTGAATAAATTATTCTTTGCAGTTTTCCTACACTGTGAGATGGCCTTGTCTCTTCCTCTTTGATGTATGTTGCCTTGAGAGAGCGCTGGCTTATCTGGAACTGGAAGGAGTGGTGGATACACAGTGAATCGACTGAGGACTCATATCTGGAGGTCTGTGTCTAAAATTGTGCTGACCAAGCCTTAGGGTAAGAGGCCATGTGATTGGTTTGACGGTGGAGGACTTTCCTATGTTGTGTCTCATCTTTTAAGCACCAGTACCTACGGATTTAGGAGGCTTTTGCATGGACGTATTCTTTTTGATTTATCTGCATGTGTTTTCACCTTTCCACACCTATTATTGGTGGGGTGCATATTCACCAACATTTGTTATCGGAAAGTTGATAGTGATGCACTTATTACTATAATCTATATGCCTACAAAATGCACTAGCTGCTCTTTTATTATTCAAGCCTGAGAGTTACCCAATTTTCACATAATCACTACAGTGCTGGCATCCACTGATCTCCTGGTAGATCTCCCACCAAGAACATCGGATGGTGAGAGATCTTCTCCTCCCATATCACTACAGAGCTGGCATCCACTGATCTCCTGACAGATCTCCCACCAAGAACATTAGATGGTGAGAGATCTTCTCCTCCCATATCACTACAGTGCTGGCATCCACTGATCTCCTGGTAGATCTCCTCCCAAGAACATCGGATGGTGAGAGATCTTCTCCCATATCACTACAGTGCTGGCATCCACTGATCTCCTGGTAGATATCCCACCAAGGACATTAGATGGTGAGAGATCTTCTCCTCCCATATCACAACAGTGCTGGCATCCACTGATCTCCTGACAGATCTCCCACCAAGAACATTGATGGTGAGAGATCTTCTCCCATATCACAACAGTGCTGGCATCCACTGATCTCCTGGTAGATCTCCTCCCAAGAACATTAGATGGTAAGAGATCTTCTCCTCCCATCACTACAGTGCTGGCATCCACTGATCTCCTGACAGATCTCCCACCAAGAACATTAGATGGTGAGAGATCTTCTCCTCCCATATCACAACAGTGCTGGCATCCACTGATCTCCTGACAGATCTCCCACCAAGAACATTAGATGGTGAGAGATCTTCTCCCATATCACAACAGTGCTGGCATCCACTGATCTCCTGGTAGATCTCCTCCCAAGAACATTAGATGGTGAGAGATCTCTCCTCCCATATCACTACAGTGCTGGCATCCACTGATCTCCTGGTAGATCTCCCACCAAGAACATCGGATGGTGAGAGATCTTCTCCCATATCACAACAGTGCTGGCATCCACTGATCTCCTGTAGATCTCCCACCAAGAACATTAGATGGTGAGAGATCTTCTCCCATATCAGTACAGTGCTGGCATCCACTGATCTCCTGGTAGATCTCCCACCAAGGACATGACAGACATGTCAGCAAGTACACCACGCATCCCACTGATCTCCTGACAACAGCAATATACACTCTAGCCTGCTACCCTGCCAGGACTCGATGCCATGATTAAAGGTGCCATTTGGTTTACCCACTACACACCTAGGCACCCTTAGAGGATGAAGTGTTCACACCCAGCAATGAAATCATTCTTTGTTATTTGATAAATCCCACCAAAAAAAACTACCCCCAGATGACAGTCAGCTGGACTGGCTGGAAACGGATCTGTGTTTATGTCAGACAGAACTGGCAATCAGACAGCAAGTAGAAAGGTTGTCCTGTTTCCACTGTTGTCTCCGAGAAGCCCCTTCTGATCCGTTGTCTGCTCCTTCCATCCTCCATTGATGGAATAGTGTGCTCTGCAGAGTTGTGTGCTCGCCCTGGGGTGGTCAGATCAAGTGTATGACCGGCCAAGCTGGACAGTCATTCCCCCGCAGTGTGATGGCCACTTTATGGCTGGTTTCTGAATGGATTACACATTTCTAAACAGGATATTACTCAACTGACTCCAAAGAAGTATGGAAGCATTCCTCTCCCAGTCCATTATATTTCATAGTTCTCAGATTTACATCTCTGGATCTGAAGTAGAATACGAGACCCCAATCATCTGACAGCAACCTTCCCACAGATTTCACTGCAGATCTTCATACCGTATGACCTGCCTTACCTGCCAAATGACCCCTGAACTCCTGGCAGACAACACAGTCAGGTCTCTGATCCCATGTCAGTGCACTGACCCCACCCCAGCCAATGACCAGCCAATGTAGGAGCTGTAAACCATGGACCAGGTCATGCCTATGCTCTTCCCCCTGTCAGCAAGCTCCTAGTTTAGACTGACAGCCCAGTGCAATGTAGTAGAATATGACTGGCTGAAGCTGCTGCTTGGTTCTGTCCCAGCCTGCCTTGCACTGGAGTACCGGAGACTACTGCGAAGATGGACTGACGGCATTCTTCAAAAATGTTATCTGTACTTACTGGAAGCTTCATTTCTTGGAGTTCATTCAGAAACACAGCAATCCGGAGACTGGAGAGAAGGATATAATCCTCATGTGCTGCACAAATAAAGGATAGGCTGCTGCAAGCACCTAAATGTGTTCCCACATCAATAAAACGCCCCAAGAATTGTGCTGCGCTGCCCTCTAGTGACACTAATTATAAATAAACACCCTCCTGAGCATCAAACCCAAAGTGCAATACAATAAATCTGTGAAAGAAAACAAAAAAACCTGGCTGAGCCACTAAATCCAAACACTATGTGAAACATCAAAAATATACCAAAATCAACTAGCAATAAACACCTGGCCAACCTATAAGAAACACCCGGCTGAGCTGACAAATAAAGTGTAAAAAACAACAAAAACAGTAAATATGTGAAACAGATATCAGAAATCAAACATGATCACAATAGCACCTGGGTGACCTGAAGCATAAAAAGTGTGAAAATCAACAAAAACAGTATTAAATGATTGTAATACAAATGACCGGCTGAGCAATCCGCCCCCCAGTGGAATAAATATGTGATCACGTAAATGTTCAACTGAACTAGATATTCACAAAAAGTGCTTTAAAAAAAAAAAAAATAGATATAGAAAAGCAACTCTACTGAATATATAAAAAAAAAACAAAAACAGGTAAATGGTGAATAATAGAGAACATTTAAAGTGCAAAATGCCGTCCAAAAGTGATACAACAGTCTCTGTCTTCCAACATTCCCCCCCCCCCCCCTCGGGCCAGTAATACACCAGAGACTACTCTGTGCGCCTCCCCCCTGGGGGAAAATCAGTAAAAAGAGAAGTAACCTGGACATGGAGGGGGAGACGGAATCCAGACACGGGGTGGAGGGAGCGAGGCGGAACCCAGACGCCCGAGGGGGGGGAGGCAGAACCCAGAAGCCCGATGGGGGGGGGGGGGTGGATGCAGAACCCGGACGCCCGAGGGAGAATGGGGGGGGGGGGGGGAGGCGTAAACCCAGAGACACGAGGGGGGGGGGGGAAGCAGAACCTAGAGTCCCAAGGGGGGGAGGTGGAACCCAGATGCCCGAGGGGGGGGAGGCGTTACCCAGAGGCCCGAGGGGGGGGAGGCGGAAACCAGATGCCCAAGGGAAGGGGGGGGCGGAACGCAGACGCCCGAGGGGGGGAGGCGGGAACCAGATGCCGAGGGAGGGGGGGGGGGGGGAGGCGGAACCCAGAGGCCCAAGGGGGGGGGGAAGCGGAACCCAGAGGCCCGGGGGGGGGGAGCGGAACCCAGTGGCCCGAGGGGGGGGGGGGGGGGGGGGGGGAGCGGAACCCAGTGGCTCGAGGGGGGGGGGGAGCGGAACCCAGACGCCCGAGGGGGGGGGGGGGAGCGGAACCCAGACGCCCGAGGGAAGGGGGGGGCGGGAACCCAGACGCTCGAGGGGGGGAGGCGGGAACCAGAGGCCCAAGGGGGGGGGGGAGCGGAACCCAGTGGCCCGAGGGGGGGGGGGGGAGCGGAACCCAGAGGCCCGAGGGGGGGGGGGGGAGCGGAACCCAGAGGCCCGAGAGGGGGGGGGGGAGCGGAACCCAGAGGCCCGAGGGGGGGGAGCGGAACCCAGAGGCCCGAGGGGGGGGGGGGAGGCGGAACCCAGACGCCCGAGAGGGGGGGGGGGGGGAGGCGGAACCCAGACGCCCGAGGGGGGGGGGAGGCGGAACCCAGACGCCCGAGGGGGGGGGAGGCGGAACCCAGACGCCTGAGGGGGGGGGGAGGCGGAACTCAGATGCCCGAGGGGGGGGGGGGGGGAGGCGGAACTCAGACGCCCGAGGGGGGGGGAGGCGGAACTCAGACACCTGAGGGGGGGGAGGCGGAACCCAGACACCTGAGGGGGGGAGGCGGAACCCAGACACCAAAGGGGGGAGGCGGAACCCAGACGGGGGGGGGGGGGGATTGGGGAATTGGAACCCGAATCCAGCAAAGGAATCCAAGAGAATTGACAGTTGAAATGTTTGTAACATTCTTAGTCATGGAGGAATTCAGGAATTCAGGACTGTCAGGACGTCCATAAGTAGTGTAACCTGAGAGGTGTGCAACACCAACAAAACCAGGTCTACAGAAAACAACCGAACTGAGAACTACATGATAAAACACCCCTGAAGGGCCTTACACCCAAAACTGGCATCAGATGAGTGTTTTCTAGCAGCCCCCGACCTCATTCATCTGAAGAGGAACCATACAAGGAAGCCCCATACGTGGGAATCCTACCTCAGGCTCTCCTCAGATGACCCTCCTTGTTCCTTCTTTTTTCTTGGCTCTTGTGGAAAGTCAAAAGAAGTGGAGCCTTTGTCTTCGCCTTTGTCTTCGCCTTCATCGGGGGCCTCCATGGTGTTCTGCACCCCCCCCCCTTTCTTCAGCAGCCCAAGTACATTCCTCTAATCGTTGGGCTAGCAGAAGTGTGAGGCCACTGGAGACCAGAGAAGACAGAGCGGCGTTGTCATAGCAATAATAGAGAAATGCCACTATAACCCGATAGTGAACAGACCGATACTGTGGGCTGCGCAGTACATCTAGGAGCACTTCAAGGCCGCCATGTTCTCGTACCCGGACACGATTCACCGCTTCACACGGCAACAGAAGCACAGAGCTTTGACCACCGGGAGGCATCGCGTTGGTGCTCGCTGTACGGCAATGGCCTCTGTGATCAGCAGCTTCATGACACCGGCATTGCCCAGGATTGGTCTCAACGCTCCTTGGTTACAAAGATTACATAAAGTCCCCAACGCAGCCTGCCGTACCGCCATCTTGCCTTGCTCTTCACCAGCCAAAGTCATCAAGGTTGGCACAGCGGGATTGAGCTGTGCTGCACATTCATAGGAGCATCCACAGCTCAGCTCACACACGGCACGCACAGCTTCACAAACCACGTCCACGTTAGCAGAGCTAAGCATCTGAACGCACGGAGACAGCCCCCCCTGCTGGCAGATGGACAGTCTATGTGGTGGGGAATCGCCCAGAATTCGTAACGCCCGGAGACAACTCTGCAAACAGCCCGCATCCTGAGATCTCTGCAGGATCTGCACCAAAGACGAGACCGCACCTAATGGGGGGAAAAGAGGGAGAAGGTTCAGCAGAAAGCCGGAGCCACTTTTCATTGCAGACCTGGTCCTGGTCCTGGGACGGATCTCTTCCATACACAAGCAGGAAATAATGGCGAATAGTGTGTCCTCACCGCCATTTCTGGCATCCCCTCCCCCCAGACATTCCCTGAAGCCGGCACGCTTCCCGTCTGACCCACTGGATGCAGCAAAAACTAAATACTCAGATGGTCACCTGACCCCCCCCTTCAGTTTGTAGTAGAAAACCTCAGATATTCGTTAAAGCCCATCTCCGGGGAAAATGTTCCCAGCATGCAGGTCTATGGCTGCACTCCAATAATGCCCAATACAATACCACCCTAATTGAGGAAGCCCCACACCTGGGGGGCATGGACATGGGGGGGGGGGGGGGACACGGGGGGGGGGCATGGACACGGGGGGGGGGGGGGGGGGGGGGGGGGGACAGGGGGCATGGACACGGGGGGGGGGGGGGGGGGGGGGGGGGGGGGGGACACTGGGGGCATGGAGGGACCCTCCTGACCAGCATAAGGGCTGACACACTGCAGTCCTCTCCACTAGGCCACCAATGCTGGCATAGCCCCCCAACCCCCCGACAGCTCACCTGAATCATGAATGATGTTGTTGTTTTGGGAGTCCACAGCCAGGTTCCCCAGAGCCCGACATACCCGGTTCCATATGGAATCGATGCACACCGACTTCAGAATAGAGACTGCAATACAAAAAGAGAGAGGATGGGTGTTCATCATGTGTGGAGACATGCCGGGACCGGGCTGGCCTATAGCAGAGCAGCAGGCCTATCCATGCCCCCCCACCCCCCCCCCCCCCAATGTGTTCTGGTGTCACCCCTCCATGTGTTCCGGTGCCAACCCCCATGTGTCACCCCTTTCCCCCCATGTGTTCTTGTGTCACACCCCCCCATGTGTTCTTGTGTCACCCCCCCCCCCCATGTGTTCCGGTGTCACCCCCCCCCCCATGTGTTCCGGTGTCACCCCCCCCCATGTGTCACCCCTTTCCCCCCATGTGTTCCGGTGTCACCCCCCCATGTGTCACCCCTTTCCCCCCATGTGTTCCGGTGTCACCCCCCCATGTGTCACCCCTTTCCCCCCATGTGTCACCCCTTTCCCCCCATGTGTTCTTGTGTCACCCCTTCCCCCATGTGTTCTGGTGTCACCCCCCCCATGTGTTCCAGTGTCACCCCCCCCCCCATGTGTCACCCCTTTCCCCCCATGTGTTCCTGTGTCACACCCCCCCCCCCATGTGTTCCGGTGTCACCCCCCCATGTGTTCCGGTGTCACCCCCCCCCCATGTGTTCCGGTGTCACACCCCCCAAATGTGTTCCGGGGTCACCCCCTTCCCCCTATGTGTTCTGGTGTCACCCCCCCATGTGTTCCGTGTCACCCCCTCATGTGTCACCCCCTTCCCCCCATGTGTTCGTCTGTCACCCCCCCATGTGTTTGTCTGTCACCCCCCCATGTGTTTGTTCTGGTGTCACCCCCCCCCATTTGTTTGTTCTGGTGTCACCCCCCCATGTGTTCGTCTGTGACCCCCCCCCCTCTGTGTGTTCTGGTGTCACCCCCCCATAATCATAGTCTGGGGATCCCTGCCATGGCCATACCATGTGGCAACCCCTCTGTCTTCTCCCATAAATCTACACAGATGCCCCTCCTGTACAGATTGGTGTCGTCTCGTATGGCCTGCGGTGGTGTCAGTGGTCGGTGTTCGGACAGATTGGTGTCGTCTCCTATGGCCTGCGGTGGTGTCAGTGGTCGGTGTTCGGACAGGGAAAGCGGTATTATAATAATACCCAAGTGCAGTCGGGGTCCGGTTCCATTACATTAATGTAACGGAACCGACCCAGTCTGTACTTGGGTATTATTATAATACCGCTTTCCCTGTCCGAACACCGACCACTGACACCACCGCAGGCCATAGGAGACGACACCAATCTGTCCGAACACCGACCACTGACACCACCGCAGAATAATCAGGGACAGACCCCTCCCCCGACCACTGACACCACCAGAAGAATCAGGGACAGACCCCTCCCCCTTTTCGTACACCAGAAGAATCCGGGACAGACTCCTCCCCCTTTCCGTACACCAGTAGAATCCAGGACAGACTCCTCCCCCTTTCCATACACCAGAAGAATCTGGGACAGACCCCTCCCCCTTTCCATACACCTGAAGAATCCAGGACAGACCCCTCCCCCTTTCCATACACCTGAAGAATCCAGGACAGACCCCTCCCCCTTTCTATACACCAGAAGAATCCTGGACAGACTCCTCCCCCTTTTCCATACACCAAAAGAATCCGGGACCGACTCCTCCCTCTTTCCGTACACCAGAAGAATCTGGAATGGACAGACTCCTCCCCAGCACCAAGAGCCCCGGGGCCCCCCGAGCACACAGGAGGCCCAGCAGACTATTCCCACAGATGGAATGGCCACGCCTCTACATGCTGGAACTGGGCTGGGTGATCCTAGAACACAGGAAGTTCTGCTGGTGAGAACATTGAAATGACGGCAGGGGGTCGCCCGGGGGTGAGCTCAGCCTGGTATTCAGGAAGTCCAGCGGGTCGCCCCGGGGTGAGCTCCCCCGTATACAGGTGTACCCCATTGCCCTGGAGAGCTCCCCCGTATACAGGTGTACCCCATTACCCTGGAGAGCTCCCCGTATACAGGTGTACCCCATTACCCTGGAGAGCTCCCCCGTATACAGGTGTACCCCATTACCCTGGAGAGCTCCCCCGTATACAGGTGTACCCCATTACCCTGGAGAGCTCCCCCGTATACAGGTGTACCCCATTACCCTGGAGAGCTCCCCCTTATACAGGTGTACCCCACCCCACGAGAGAGCTCCCCCTTATACAGGTGTACCCCCCTGGAGAGCTCCCCCGTATACAGGTGTACCCCATAACCCTGGAGAGCTCCCCCGTATACAGGTGTACCCCATTACCCTGGAGAGCTCCCCCGTATACAGGTGTACCCCATTGCCCTGGAGAGCTCCCCCGTATACAGGTGTACCCCATAACCCTGGAGAGCTCCCCCGTATACAGGTGTACCCCATTGCCCTGGAGAGCTCCCCCGTATACAGGTGTACCCCATTGCCCTGGAGAGCTCCCCCTTATACAGGTGTACCCCATTACCACGAGAGAGCTCCCCCTTATACAGGTGTACCCCATAACCCTGGAGAGCTCCCCCGTATACAGGTGTACCCCATAACCCTGGAGAGCTCCCCCGTATACAGGTGTACCCCATAACCCTGGAGAGCTCCCCCGTATACAGGTGTACCCCATTGCCCTGGAGAGCTCCCCCGTATACAGGTGTACCCCTGGAGAGCTCCCCCGTATTGTACCCCCTGGAGAGCTCCCCATATACAGGTGTACCCCATTGCCCTGGAGAGCTCCCCCGTATACAGGGTACCCCATTGAGAGCTCCCCATTATACAGGTGTACCCCATAACCCTGGAGAGCTCCCCCCTTATACAGGTGCACCCCACTACCATGAAGAGATTCTCTTTTCACACAAAGTACCCCAATACTCTGGAGAACCTCCTCTTCTACAAGTGTACCCCAGTAACCTGGGGATGTCCCACTTTCACAAGTGTACCCTAAATCTCAACATCTGTTTTAATGCAGCCAGAAAAGTTGTAGAATGGAGGATTGTGAGGCGTTCTCTGTGTATAACACTCACATAGCAGATACTTACTGAGAGCGGGAATCCCCCCGAGTTCTCGGACCTGCAATACACAGCAGAGTATATCATCAGCAGGAGGTATGAGCACATTGTACAGGGAGGGGAGGAGAATACTCACCCATCAACCTTCTGTTACTGGAACCCTGCTCCACGAATCTGCCTCTTCCCCACAGCCAGAGGGTGGAGAACAGGAGGAGGAGTCCTTACAATGGCCCTCCCACTCATTCCTACACCACCCTCTCCTTTACTGGAGCTCCTTGTATTCATCCTCCATTCTGAGGATTGCTGAGTCTATCGGCCTCCAGAACCGGCGGCCTCTTTCCGGCCCCTCGCCTCCTCTTCCCGCCCTTCGCCTCCTCCTCCTCTTTCCGCCCTCTCTCCCCCCGCCCCCCTCTTCCCCCCCTCTTCCCGCCCCTCTCTTCCCCGCCCCTCGCCTCCACCTCCTCTTCCCCCCCTCTCTCTTCTCCGCCCCTCCTCCTCTCCTACCCTCCTCTTCCCCGCCTTCTCCCCCCCCGCCCCCCCTCCTCTTCCCGTCCCTCGCCTCCACCTCCTCCCCCCCCCTCCCTTCCCCGCCCCTTGCCTCCCCTCCCCCTCCCGCCCCTCGCTTCCCTGTCCCCCTTGCCTCCACCCTCCTCTTCCCTCCCTCTTTTCTCTGCCCCTCGCCTCCCCTCCTACACCTCCTCTTCCCGTCCCTCGCCTCCTCTTCCCCCCCCCCTTCCCCATCTCCTCTCCTCCACCTCCTCCCCTGCCCTCTCTTCCCCATCCCTCTCCTACACCTCCTCTTCCCATCCCTCGCCTCCCCCCCCCTTCCCTCCCCTCCCTTTCCCCCTCTCTTCCCCGCCCCCTCTTCCCCAACTCCTCTTCCCCTCCCCCTCGCCTCCCCCCTCTTCCCCCCTCTCTCTTCTCCGCCCCTCGCCTCCCCCTACACCTCCTCCCCCCGCCTTCTCTTCCCCGCCCCCCCGCCTCCCCCCCCCTCTTCCCCCCCCTCTCCCCCCCCCCCCTCCCCCCCCCCCCCCTCCCCCCCCCCTTCCCCCCCTTGCCTCCCCCCTCCCCCCTCCCCTTTTCCCCCCCGCCTCCCTCCCACCCCTCTTCCCCCCCCCCCTTCCCTCCCCCCCCCCCCTCCCCCCCCCCCCCCTCCCCCCCCCCTTCCCCCCCCCCTCCCCTCTCCTCTCCCCCCTCCCTCCTCCCTCCCCCCCCCCCCCCCTCCCTCCCTCCCCTCCTCTCCCCCCCCCCCTCTCTGCCCCTCCCTCCCTCCCCATCCCCTCCCCCCCCCCCGCCCCCGTCCCTCCCCCCCCGCCCACCCTCCCCCCCCTCTTCCCCCCCCCCCCCCCCTCCTCTTCCCCCCCCCCCCCTCCCCCTCCCTCCCTCCCCCCTCTTCCCCTCCCCCTCTCCCCCTCCTCTTCCCCGCCCCTCTCCTCCTCTCCCCCCCCTTCTCCCCCTGCCCTCTACCACCTTCCCCCCCCTCCTCCTCCCCTCCCCTTCCCCCCTCCCCCCCCCTCCCCCCCCCCCTCCTCCCCCCCCCCCCCTTCCCCCCCCCCCCACCTCCTCCCCCCCCCCCTCCTCTCCCCCCCTTCCCCCTCCCCCTCCCCTTCCCCTCCTCCCCGCCCCCCCCCCTCCCCTTCCCCCACCCCCTCCCCCCCTCACCTCCTCTTCCCCCCCCCCTCTTCCCCATCCTCTCCTCCACCTCCTCTTCCCCAGAACGCACAGAGCACACACAGCAGAACGCACAGAGCACACACAGCAGAACGCACAGAGCACACACAGCAGAAACGCACAGAGCGCACAGCAGAACGCACAGAGCGCACAGCAGAACGCACAGAGCACACAGCAGAACACACAGAGCGCACAGCAGAAACACACAGAGCGCACAGCAGAACACACAGAGCGCACAGCAGAACACACAGAGCGCACAGCAGAACACACAGAGCGCACAGCAGAACACACAGAGCACACAGCAGAACACACAGAGCACAGAGCACACAGCAGAACGCACAGAGCACACAACAGCACAGAGCACACAACAGCACAGAGCACACAGCAGCACAGAGCACACAGCAGAACACACACAGCACAGAGCAGACTGGGGATATGTTGGGGGAGGAGTTGCACATGTCCAGGGCAATTGATAGTTGGGGGGATGGGAGGGGGCGGAGACACATGAGGGAGGAGACGGGGGCGTTGTCCTCCAGGCTCCGCCTATGATTGGATTCCTCTCAGCCCAGTGAAGGCGAAGGGGCGGAGCTCAGGGTAAGAGGGGGTGTGTCCTCACCTGGACTCGGCTCCCGGGCTCCGTACATCCATTGGCCAGCACGCTCAGGCCGAGCTCCAGGCTCCGGCGGGAACTCCCCAGGACGGCCGCCGCGGAGGGGTCAGTCAGGAGATGTACGAGCATGGCCAGCCCGCCCGACCTCCGGAACTTCTCCGCCCCTCCAGCTCGGGACACATAACGGCTCCGGAGTTCACTGAGAGCAGCACCGAGCCCCGCCGCATCCTCCGCCGCCGCCGCTAGAGCGGCCAGACATGAGGAGAAGGATGGAGCGGCCATCTGTCACACGGAGGCCCACTGCGCCTGCGCTGTACGCCAACCACTCAGCTCCGCCTCACCGATGACGTCTCTTCCTGTCACATGACCTCCGCCATCCTCGTCCTGATTTCCAGGGTCTACACTTCCGGGACCAGCCAGACTCCTCCTTCTTTGTGTCACATGACCTCCCACAAGGTCATTCACCCTAAACCCCCAGAATTCACTTCACCAGATTCAGGAAAAATACCCACAACTGTCCAATGGATCCATCCAATGAGAGGAGAGATCCGAGCCGCATGTCGGAGATAACACCGGATCGTCCGATGATAGGGGGAGGAGCGATCCGAGCCGCCCATCGGAGATAACATCGGATCGTCCAATGAGAGGGGGGGAGCGATCCGAGCCGCGCGTCGGAGATACCACCGGATCGTCCGATGATAGGGGGGGAGCGATCCGAGCCGCGCGTCGGAGATAACACCGGATCGTCCAATGAGAAGGGGAGGAGAGATCCGAGCCGCATGTCGGAGATAACTCCGGATCGTCCAATGATAGGGGAGGAGCGATCCGAGCCGCGTGTCGGAGATAACTCCGGATCGTCCAATGAGGGGGGGGGAGCGATCCGAGCCGCCCGTCGGAGATAACACCGGATCGTCCGATGATAGGGGGGGGGAGCGATCCGAGCCGCCCGTCGGAGATAACTCCGGATCGTCCAATGAGAGGGGAGGAGCGATCCGAGCCGCGTGTCAGAGATAACACCGGATCGTCCAATGAGAGGGGAGGAGCGATCCGAGCCGCGCGTCGGAGATAACTCCGGATCGTCCAATGAGAGGGGGGGGGAGCGATCCGAGCCGCGCGTCGGAGATACCACCGGATCGTCCGATGAGAGGGGGGAGCGATCCGAGCCGCGCGTCGGAGATAACACCGGATCGTCCAATGAGAGGGGAGGAGCGATCCGAGCCGCGCGTCGGAGATAACTCCGGATCGTCCAATGAGAGGGGGGGAGCGATCCGAGCCGCGCGTCGGAGATAACTCCGGATCGTCCAATGAGAGGGGGAGGAGCGATCCGAGCCGCGCGTCGGAGATAACTCCGGATCGTCCAATGAGAGGGGGGGAGCGATCCGAGCCGCGCGTCGGAGATAACACCGGATCGTCCGATGATAGGGGGAGGAGCGATCCGAGCCGCACGTCGGAGATAACACCGGATCGTCCAATGAGAGGGGAGGAGCGATCCGAGCCGCGTGTTGGAGATAACACCGGATCGTCCAATGAGAGAGGGGGAGGAGCGATCCGAGCCGCGCGTCGGAGATAACACCGGATCGTCCGATGAGAGGGGGGGAGCGATCCGAGCCGCGCGTCGGAGATAACACCGGATCGTCCGATGATAGGGGGGGAGCGATCCGAGCCGCGTGTTCGGAGATAACACCGGATCGTCCAATGAGAGGGGGGGAGCGATCCGAGCCGCGCGTCGGAGATAACTCCGGATCGTCCGATGAGAGGGGGGGAGCGATCCGAGCCGCGCTGTCGGAGATAACACCGGATCGTCCGATGAGAGGGGGGGAGCGATCCGAGCCGCCGTCGGAGATAACTCCGGATCGTCCGATGAGAGGGGGGGAGCGATCCGAGCCGCGTGTCGGAGATACCACTGGATCGTCCAATGATAGGGGGGAGCGATCCGAGCCGCGCGTCAGAGATAACACCGGATCGTCCAATGAGAGGGGGGGGAGCGATCCGAGCCGCGCGTCGGAGATAACTCCGGATCGTCCGATGAGAGGGGGGGGGGAGCGATCCGAGCCGCGCGTCGGAGATAACTCCGGATCGTCCGATGAGAGGGGGAGGAGCGATCCGAGCCGCGCGTCGGAGATAACACCGGATCGTCCGATGATAGGGGGGGAGCGATCCGAGCCGCGCGTCGGAGATAACACCGGATCGTCCGATGAGAGGGGAGGAGCGATCCGAGCCGCGCGTCGGAGATACCACCGGATCGTCCGATGAGAGGGGGGAGCGATCCGAGCCGCGCGTCGGAGATAACTCCGGATCGTCCGATGAGAGGGGGAGGAGCGATCCGAGCCGCGCGTCGGAGATAACTCCGGATCGTCCGATGAGAGGGGGGGAGCGATCCGAGCCGCGCGTCGGAGATAACTCCGGATCGTCCGATGAGAGGGGGGGAGCGATCCTGAGCCGCGCGTCGGAGATACACTCCGGATCGTCCGATGATAGGGGGGAGCGATCTGAGCCGCGCGTCGGAGATAACTCCGGATCGTCCGATGAGAGGGGGGGAGCGATCCGAGCCGCGCGTCGGAGATAACTCCGGATCGTCCGATGAGAGGGGGGGAGCGATCCGAGCCGCGCGTCGGAGATAACTCCGGATCGTCCGATGAGAGGGGGGGAGCGATCCGAGCCGCGCGTCGGAGATAACACCGGATCGTCCGATGAGAGGGGGGAGCGATCCGAGCCGCGCGTCGGAGATAACTCCGGATCGTCCGATGAGAGGGGAGGAGCGATCCGAGCCGCGCGTCGGAGATAACTCCGGATCGTCCGATGAGAGGGGAGGAGCGATCCGAGCCGCGCGTCGGAGATAACTCCGGATCGTCCGATGAGAGGGGAGGAGCGATCCGAGCCGCGCGTCGGAGATAACACCGGATCGTCCGATGATAGGGGGAGGAGCGATCCGAGCCGCCCGTGGAGATAACATCGGATCGTTCGATGATAGGGGGAGGAGCGAGCCGCGCGTCGGAGATAACACCGGATCGTCCAATGAGACGTTCAGCGGATCGGAGTCCGCCTGTGGGACGTTCAGCGGATCGGAGTCCGCCTGTGGGACGTTCAGCGGATCGGAGTCCGCCTGTGGGACGTTCAGCGGATCGGAGTCCGCCTGTGGGACGTTCAGCGGATCGGAGTCCGCCTGTGGGACGTTCAGCGGATCGGAGTCCGCCTGTGGGACGTTCAGCGGATCGGAGTCCGCCTGTGGGACGTTCAGCGGATCGGAGTCCGCCTGTGGGACGTCAGCGGATTGGACATGATCAGGAAAGGCATACACCTGTCTATAGAAGGTCCCACAGGTAACAGTGCATGTCAGAGCACAAACCAAGCAATGAAGTCCAAGGAATTGTCTGTAGACCTCCGAGACAGGATTGTATCAAGGCACAGATCGGGGGAAGGGTACAGAAACATTTCTGCAGTATTGAAGGTCCCAATGAGCAAACGGCCTCCGTCATCCGAAAATGAAAGAAGTTTGGAACCACCAGGAATCTTCCTAGAGTGGGCTGCTCGGCCAATATGAGTGATCGAGGGAGAAGGGCCGTAGCCAGGGAGGTAACCAAGTACCTGATGGTCATTCTGAAAGAGCTCCAGCATTTCTCTGTGGAGATAAAACTTTCCAGAAGAACAACCATCTCTGCAGCACTACACCAATCAGGCCTGTTTGGTAGAGTGGCCAGACGGAAGCCACTTCTCAGTAAAATGCAAATGGCAGCCCGCCTGGAGTTTGCCAGAAGGCATCTGACGGACTCTAAGACTATGAGAAACAAAACTCTCTGGTCTGATGAAACAAAGATTGAACCCTTTGGCCTGAATGCCAAGCGTCATGTATCCCTACAGTGAAGCGTGGTGGTGGCAGCATCATGCTGTGGGGATGGATCTGGGAGACTAGTCAGGATGGAAGGAAAGATGAATGCAGCAATGTACAGAGACATCCTTGATAAAAAACCTGTTCCAGAGCGCTCTGGACCTTAGACTGGGGTGACGGTTCATCTTTCAACAGGACAACGACCCTAAGCACACAGCCCACATAACAAAGGAGTGGCTAGGGGCCAACGATGGGAATGTCCTAGAGTTGCCCAGACTTGAACCCAATTGACCATCTCTGGAGAGATCTGACAATGGCTGTGTACCCACACTCCCCATCCAACCTGATGGAGCTTGAGAGGTCTTGCAAAGAATGGGAGAAATTGCCCAAAAATAGGTGCGCCAAGCTTGTAGCGTCATACTTGAGGTTGTAATTGGTGCTAAAGGGGCTTCAACAAAGTATTGAGCAAAGGCTGGCAATACTTATGTACATGGGGGGGTTTGTTTCATTTTTTTATTTTTAATAGCAGATTTTCAAAATGAACTTCTTTCCCATTGTCACTATGGGGTATTGTTTGTAGAATGTGGAGAAAAAAATTAATTGAATCCATTTTGGAATAAGGCTGTAACATAAAATGTGCCAAAAGTTAATCGCTGGGAATAGTTTCTGGATGCTCTGTAAATGTAAGAGTCGGGTAATCTGTAATTGTAGATCTCATTGTGTGTTATTACAGAGAAGTGTTCAGTCATAGACATATGTTCACCAATCGGCATCTGAAAGGATAGAGCAATGTCTAAGTGAGAGGTGTCACTGAGGTGCCAATGGAGCTTTGCTATCTAAGTAGACAAGCAGTTCTCACCTTGAAATTCTATCCCTGACCCAGTGATCAGAACTATTCCTGGCCTATTCCAGATTGGGCACTTCAGAACATCCTGTGGGCTGGTACAATAACACCCCGAGGGTTAATTGGCCAAGGGTATAAAGTCCAGCCCACATCCATATTTCAATTGAGGACCCTAAGATATGGGTGGGGTATGGAGCAGGTTCCATGTGACTGGTGAATCGCTGACTTTCTTTAACTTGCTCCAATTACAGGATAAATCGGTAAAAATTTATTTTTTTTATTCCCTTTTTATTTATAGTGAATGGCCAATTGTGTATCTTTTTTTATTTGCTGTAATTCTTTTTCTTTACATATTTTATGCTCCGCCCATTTTTGGGATATTAAATCAAAATGAATAAGTGAATTCTGTGTACTATATTTGGGCTCATATCTCCGGAGAGATTGTATTGTATCTATGTGCTCGGTCTAAGTTCATTGCCAAGCTGTATGACATTGTACTGTGTGTTGGTAGATTGCATGCAGATTGTAAACAAGCAGATCTGCCAGACGGAGATCTGTGTGTGTGGGTGTCCCAGCAGATCGTTCTGCGGATAAACTGTTGGGTGGTGGCCA